TAGAAATGAAATATGGGTCTTGCCCTTAACAAACTTAAAGTTTATCTGGAAGCTGAGCAATAAGAAGACAATCCTATGGTAGAATGGTGCTGCATCTTTAGCCCAAAAAAGAAAAAGGTTGGAGTATATTAGAGCAGGAAAAATGAATTTGAAGAGATTGAACGTAAGATGGATTTTGAAGGGCATTTGAGGTAAAACACACCAAATATCAGTGCATACGCACAAAAGTCACCTTTGAGACTGGCAACATTTAGTTATCAATCTAACAGACTTAGAATTTTAGTATCTACCTTGATAGATTCAATGAACTTCCTTTTTGATGTTTGAAGGTTAAAAAGTCAGGAAATATGCACCAACAATTTCAAAACCTTCTGACTGAATTAAACAAACCCACTGATGCATATGAGTTGAAGATCGCCAACAAACTCTATGGAGAAAAGACTTATCACTTTCTCCAGGTAAGTTTTGCCAGGCCTACGACACCTTTCATTTGTGTTTTGGGTCCTATGTCTCGGAATGGCCCAATGAGAGGACTGAGGCAGACAAGCCCTGCTGGCTCAGATGGGGAGCATCTGCCCAGGTGCATCAAATCCATTTCCACACCTCTACCCACTGGAGTGTCCCAGACCCAGACAATACACTGGTAAAGTGTGGATTTAGGGAGTATCTTATAATAAAAGAGGAGGTTGGGTAGCAGAGCTCATCATGAGATGTCTTCAATGAACTGTCACTGACAGAGTACATCTTGCTGGGAAATGTATGACTAATCGTATATTACTGGAATGGGCAGGCTTAGGTGAGTCCCTGGGAATAGCTGGGGAAGTACCAGGGAATACTGAATGCCCAGGATGGAAGATAGAAAGGTGAGAAACGTAAGAGTTGAAATTACTGGTGAGAAGTCTTGGAAGCAATTCACTCCTTCAGAGCTACTTGCTTCACAGTTTGCAAACAATCTTTCCTGTGCCTGCCTTTTGCAAGATGGTATTGACCTTCAGTGACCTCCTTCTTGTGCCAGCCTTTCCTGTTGCCTACATGGCACCTGTGTAACAATATGCATGGACAGGAGATAGTGGATTTTTTCAGGGTCTGGATTCAGTTTACTTAATTACAAATAATTAAATTTGGTAATACATAGTTACTGATAAATTACTCTTAATTCCTCCTTTCTTCCTTACTTCTCAAAGGAATATTTACACGATGTTAAGAAATTTTACTTAACCAGTGCGGAATCTGTTGATTTTCAAAATGCTGCAGAACAAAGTCAAAAGAAGATTAATTCCTGGGTGGAAAGCCAAACGAATGGTAGAGTATGGGAGGGCTACTATAGAAACACTTTTGAGTAGCCTTTGAGTGAGCCCTGTGCTTGACTCTGCATAGGGTACTGGGGGTGGGGGGTTGAAATGGGTTTGCAGAAAGGATGGGGAGGGCACTGCAGATGGGGGGATAATCCAAGTAAATGTGCAGAAAGCCAAGGGGAACCAGGAAGGGGATCACAGGAAGCCAATTACATGGACGCAGCTGGAGAATTGTTTGTACATGGCTCTGGATGGAGGGTATCTTTGTGAATCCCAAGTCTCTGTCTCTACTCAGATTCATTTTGAGGTCATATCCTTTTCTTTAGATCAGATCCAACTTTTGATTATGGATCTTTAAGAGGAAACATTAGAAAGGTTCCCTTCTCCTTCACTAACAGGGAAACAAGCGGCCCTCCTGTAAACAACCCTTTTTGCCACCTGAGCTGGAGCTTCTTCAACCACATCTTCCT